AAAAAAAAAAAAAAAAAAGAAGAAGAAGAAGAAGAATGCAAACAAAAAAATAAAAGCTCATCCCAGAGGCCACCTTATGTAGGGAGACTTCTCCTGTACCTTCCATAGCTGGTCCATTTCCAGGGACGGGATGCACACAGTATTTTTCTTTCTTGACTCCCAAGAGTCTCTCTTCAGTCTCTTCAGTCTCTCATCTTCTTTGGTCTTCAGCTGCCTCCCTGTGTCGCTCTTCACTCCGGCCTGAGGCTTCACCAGCACGAAAGGCCCTCGTCTCTCCTGTACCTGGGCGCCATGTGGCTTATCTCAGAGTCCTAGCTGACCTCAACACACCCTTGCTGGTGCTGAAATCTACAGACTCAGGGACAAGTCATACCTGCAGCTCACCTTTTCCACCTGTCCAGCACATCATCGTTCCTTCTCAGAAATCCCCTTTAGAGATAGGATTTTTAGGACAAAATCCTAAGAAGTATTTTTTTTTCTACGAGATGTCCTTGTTTATAGATGACAGATGGATAGGATGGCTGTGTCCTCCCAGAAGCCTTTTGTGATGCACATTCAGGGCAGCAAAGCAGGGGGAAGAGGGGAGCTAAAGACCAGCATCCCCCTCAGCTCCCTGACCCTTTCCTGAGTAAATCCAGCCTGGAGAGTCCCCTCCTCTGAGCCTCAGTGGATTGAGAGCTCATCTCTGAGGGCAGGATGGGGAAATGGACAGAACTGCATATATTCTTCTAAATTCACAGCTTTACATTGTCCTTAAATCTTCTAACTCTAGTCCCAGCGATGAGTCATTAGACACAGGACTCCAGTCCACACTTCCTTATTCTGAAGAAATTATAGTCTCCAAAAATGGAGGTTTGGGGCCCAGAACCTCATCCAACTTCAAGACTCCAAATGGTTTATTTGATCACCCTGAGCTTTCCTGGAATGGAATGTTAGAAAATATCCAAATTCCAGGACAGAGCGGAGTAGAGGACTCCAGTGTTGGGAGGGAGGAGGAGAGGCCTCCACCAGCACCTCTGCCCGGTCTGGGGTAGGAGGGGTCCTCAAGGCTGAGTCTCCAAAGCCAGCCTCTGCAAAGGACCCCAGGGAACCTCTGTTCGATCTTCAGGTTTCCCTTTTGTGGCTGGAAAGGTTTTGAGGACTCATTTCCACAGAGACCTCACCCCTGGTCTGTGTGCAGGTGTGGAAGCTACGAGCTGAGGCAAGTCAGGCAAGCAAGTGGAGTCAGGGGATTCAGGTGGCTACAAGGGGCCTGGGCAGGTCTGTAAGGGAGCCCAGGAGCCGAAAGAGAAAAAGTGAATACTCCTCCAGAAGCTTCTGAGCCTCAGGGTTGGAAACGATCAGGGCTTTGGATCACTATTCTGGCATTCTACATGCTAAGTGAAGCAATGTAAAGTGCGCATGATAAGGAATGGAAGAGCATAATTTAAAATGTGAATATACATGTATCCCAAAAGAAGAAGCCAAACCAAACAGCAGCATGCCAAGTTCAGTCAGCAGTGAGGCATCTTTCGCTGAACTTAATCTAGATTACAGTAAAACCTTGGATTGCGAGTAACTTGTTCTACAAGTGTTCCACAAGATGAGCAAATATTGCTAATAAATTTTAACTTGTTAAATGGATGATATCTTGCAGGACGAGTAGTATGTGACACCAAACATCACATGATTGCAGATGAGCCAATGATTCTTCCCTCTGTCTCTGTCTCTCTGTCTCTCTGTCTGTCTCTCTCCCTTTCTGTCTCTCTTTCTCTCTCACTGCAGGATTGTAGGTGATCATCTCTCAATAGAGAGAGGCTACGGAGGAGATAGAGGAGATCTCACCTGGAGAGGGAGAGAAGAAAAGGGCAGAGGAATCCTTCATTTTAAATGAGCCCAGGGAGATGTGTAAAATGTGGGAAACAGTGCAGAGTCTTGTAGAAAAGCGCCCCCTGACTAAGGGGGGAGCAGTGTAAGCCATAAATCTGCTTAATAAACCTATGCAATGTCACATTTCTGTGAAATCCTTAAAGGAGGTAAAAGCAAGTGTTGTTGGATGGATTCCTTGTTAAAGTTGCAGGAGAAAAAGATTCCATTGAGCCAATAGACAGCAGTGATTCCATCAGTGATAGAGCAAGTTGTGCTACACAGCGACCCTCTCCCTCATTTCCCCCACATGAGCCAGGAAAGCTTTCAAAGGTAAGAGCAGGCCAACGTGTTTATTTTTCTTTATGTTTTGTATGTTCTTTACTATTGTACATTACTGTATTATAATCATTTTATAAGAATATTTTTGGGTTGTGGAACGAATCATCTCAGCTTCCATTATTTCTTACGGGGAACTCACTTCAATATACAAGTCCTTTGGGTTACAAACGTGTTTCTGGAAAGAATTATGCTTGCAAGCCAAGGTTTTACTGTACTCTTTGCAGAACATATGAACTTTCTCACATCGCTGTTTTAAACACACTGAAGATCCTGAATCAACACACCTGGGACACGTTCACCTTTTGCTTTAGTGCACCTTGGAAAAGTCTTCTAGCATTGGCTTTGCATATCTCCATTAGAAGATTAATCTAGATGTAAGGAAGTCGCAACTCTATTGTCTTTCACCGGGATAAAATACTTGAAAAGTCACAGCTTGAAGGAGATTAAAGTGTACAAGGGATGAGAATTCTGAAAAAAAGATATCCACTTGCTCTTGTGGAATTAGAATTTAAAATGGGAGGGAACAAAAGAGTAGAGTTGTAAACCTGGTCTCAGTCTGAATAAACATGAATGTGCTGTTCATGTTTACATATATATAAAAATGAAACAACATTGGAAAAAATCTGTTATTCATTTGTGATCCTTAAGCTCTTTTACCTGAGGAAAAAAATATAATGTTCTTTATAAAAGAGACACAGTTTTTGGGTAAAAGACACATGTCTCAAAACCCTGAAGTGACACCATATGATCATATAATAAAGAATAGATGAAGACGATTAAAAATAACTCATATGCCTTATTTCTGGTATTTATCACTCTTTTCTTTCCCACCTAGTGATGTATATTTTCTATTAATCTCTGTAAATTAATGTGCTTACTATTTTTCTTTGGAATATAATGCAGCAACTCCTACAAAGTTTCAGGAAAAATGCATTCTTTATGTTAATCCTATAATAGCTGATCATTTTAAAAAATCAAAGAAAACCATGGACACACATATTAAAAAGATTTTCCATTGGGTTCCTGAAAAAGACAGGAAAAGAGTAAAGGAAAATGATTTCAGAAACGATCTCAGAAATGGATTTGGTTTAAGTATCACCTAAAATCTTTATAACTTCTGTAATAACAAGCCCATAAAAAGGGAAAACTTTTTATTATTATATTATGATTTGTAGGACTTACTCTCAAAATCCAGGAAGAAGTGTGGATAGTTTTCAATTTCCCTGGTCAGGACTTTGAGCAGGTTTCCCATCCCAGCAAACCTAGGAAAGGGAGCATAAAAAATAAATATCATTAGAAATACAACCACCAGGCTCTTCAGGACTCTCCCGCCCCTCTCGCGTTACCATGAAGGCCACAAAGACAGCTGTCTATGTCCAGAGATGAGCAGGCACCTGTAACCTCGCTCCAGAACTGGTAGCCGGTAACTATCTGAGTGACGACTGTCTACACCTTAGGGACATCTGGGGCAAAGGACACAGAGTGGGACGGTGGTGAAAGTATTCTAAGCAGTCTCTGGTGAACAGACCCTCACACGGTGTTTCATCGCGATGGGAAAAATTAATCTATGTGCATCGTACTAAAATAATCAGGTATTTTAGTTACAGGAAACAGACTTTGGATATACTCTATAAAGTGAATATACATCCTACAACGTTTATAGAATATTCTACCAAGTGAAGTCCCCTTCACCAATCTTTAAAATTCTTACAGTTAATATCTGTTTTACTTTGTTCCCTGCCCATCAAAGAAGGCACTACTGAAATGTCTGTCCAAAAAAAATTAAATGCCTTAAAGTTCATGACAAGCAGAGTTCAGAAAAATGCAGATTTGGGGCCTGCAGGTTTCTTCTGGTTATCTGCAGGATACAAGATTCCTCGGGATATAATTCCTAGGCCAGCCAAGGACTCTCATCATTCGGCACTTCAAAGGCAAGCAGGCAACTTCCTGAAGTGTAAAAATGAAAAGGCATAATGTCCAAAAAGGCATTCTCCGTGAAACAACAGGCTAAGGCACTTACAAAGCTGGGTCAAATCAACAGAGAGATACAAATTTGTTACAGGTCTGCAGTCCTCTCCTAAAACAAAAAACCCCCGCAAATAGGTGAACTGTAGCTATTTTTAAGTAAACAGCAGGATTTCTTTTGCTCTCAGAAGTGGACATCCAACTGTCCGCTGGGGAGGTCACGTGCCAGCAGCCCCTCAGTCACCCAACTTGCATTTCCAGGACAGCGGGCCTGAGGGCCGTGCAGTGTGGAAGATGACCGTTTCCCTGTCCCTGCTAAACACGGACTCTGACACCCCCACCTGTAAAGAATCTCTTTCAAAGTCTTGGGACCAGGACAAGGGGACTGCAGAGCCTTGATTTTCTATGCCTGTGGCTTCTGACACAATGATGTATTTCTGGAAAGCACTACGAGGATATGGTGAGAATACGCTGCAAGGAGAGGCAGCAGACTGTGTGACGTGCTTGCCACAGTCGTCCTCATGGCCGAGCAGCCCACACTAGGGTGGAGAGACGACGCTACCCTCGCCGGGATGCCCGCACCTAATCCCCGCTCTGCTTCCCGCTGTTTGCAAAGCCACGCTGCCCATCTCCAGGAGTCTGTGTCTCCCTTCGTAAAATGGATTCTCCACAGGTAGGCTCAGCGCAGGGCTGACAGGAAGTGCTGAAGCAACAGTACGTGCTCTCCCAGAAGTCACTGTGATTTAGGGTTTGCCTATCGAAGGCAAATTTGACAGATTGTGTCTTGCTCTGGGGAACTGTGGTAGGGCCAATGGGAAACTAATGAGGAAGGTCTTCATCCTATGTTAGGAAGAAATTTCTAACCTTTACAGTTGCCTGAAGCCGAGTAATTTGCCTGCTGGAAAGGGGAGCTTTGTCACACTGGTGATGTTTGGATAGCATCCCTGCTGGTGATGTAGAAACGACTTACATATTGGGCAGAAAGACGGGCCGGAGATTTAGATTTCTCCTGCCGGAGATTTAGATTTCTCCTGCCTTGGGAGCACACGAACATGAACGTGGCATACATGCAGGCGCACACGCACGCACCCACACTCCCACGCACAGACAAGAGGCAAGCACTCTTTCTGCCTTCCCAAACAACCTTCCCTCTGCTTCCTGCCATCCCTCTCTTTGTTCCCTCTGCTTTTATGCACATTTCCTTTTAAGCTATTTTTGGGCAAAGCCCCGTATGAGGTAGGTTTTGCCAGATTCAAAGCTTGGAACTGGTATAGTCCAGCCCTCTGAAAGCAGCATTTGTAAACTCTCCTGCATGTTTTGGGAAGAATGTTTTCAGTTTTATGAGCAATTTCAGTTCAGACCTGGAGGTACTTCCTACAGAAAGTCTATTCACTGTTTATAAGAAGATCTGGCATTTCTATGGAATGCCTTAATGGACATCAAATAGTCTTAATTTCCCCACCGTTGTGCTCTATATCACAAGAGATGTGCATGGCTTTAACTTCCTCCTACGAGTCTGTCTTCTGTGTGATTTTACTGGCAGAGTATCTGAGGGAAATATGTAAAGCCTTTGGGATCTGTAACAGACTGAAAAAAACACACATAAAAATACATGCAAATGTTAGCAGCATTCCATCTCTTCCGCAGGTAGGACTCGGTTGACTATCAACTCAAATGTCTGGGCAGCATGAGTCTCACATTAATCATGGTCAGTTACCTAGAATTCCCAGAATTCTAGAAGTGTCACCTCTGAAACAGGTGTTACATCTGTGACACCAACGGCAGTGGGCACTGTGGACTACAAGGGGTCCAGCCCAGGCTAATGGAACCTAGAAAATGTGTTTCAAAGCCGATGCAAGATCGTTGAAATAAGACAGAAACACATCATCTCATCTCCTCCGTGGAAGGAAAGATCCAAAGCTTATTCTCTTCTCCCAGGCTGAGGAGCATGCCCTCGAGCATCTAGTTCGTGCAGGCTGAGATGAAATAGGTCCGTTTGGAAAGGCCGCTTGCCTATGTGCTCTACGCAGGAACCTCCAATCTGTTCAAATGCTCCAAGTGAATACGAAACGGGTTGCTTTGTACCAGGGTGTCAGTGAGGTGGCTTAGTTAGTAACAGAGGTTATTTTGAAAGAAATTTTATCTTGCTACAAGTGATTCCAGTTTATCCTTCTTTATGACAGAGTAGCACTCCAGTGTGTACAAACACCACATTTCCTTATCCGTGCGTGCACCTGCTGATGGACACATACGCAGCACGAGACCACAATGGTAAGCAAAGTAAGCCAGACACACGAGCTTAAACGCAGCTTGGCTTACCTCATAAAGGAAACTAAAATTATAAATAAAGAGCACAATAAAAGAGAGACAAAGGAAGTAGGGAAATGGATCTTTTGCAACAGGGAAGGAAGGAAAACAAGAGTTGGAGGAAAGCAGAGGGAGAGGGTAGATAAGGGATAAGAAAAGGAGTAAAGATGTGTTGTGTGCGTGGACCAACTCCGCACAAGGAGTGTAAACGTTATGCACTGCAAACATGGACAAATAAAAACTTTGAAAAAGGCTTTTATCCGATTAAGTGAAATAATGTTGGATAACGTCTACATTGTTAGAGAATGCAAACACTGGTGTAATAAAAGTGGGGAAGGAAATAATAAGTGCAGGACAGTAAGGTGAAGGGGGAGCAGTGGTAGTGGCCCATGGATTCTGTGCTGTCAGTCGTTTGCTGAGCATCCAGATTGCCAGAGCAAAGGAGAAAACAAAAACCAAAAAAAAAAAAA